GCTGAACCTTCTTCGTTCACGGGACGGTGGAACCGGCCGTGGCTGAGTTTCACACGTGGCTTGGCTAGACTGCGAGGACGGTCCAGTTGCTCTGTAAAGCCGACGGGCGTTGACTATCAAGCCATTTTCCAATCGATATGTGCCAGGGCCGCACGCATGCATGATTCTCAGCGGTACAGACAGAGTTGGGTGACCCTTTAATGATCCCGGCTGCAGTGGAATTGAGGTTTTAACGTACGATTGTTGGTATATTTATATGCGGTTTAGCACTTCGGTATTTGCAGAAAAAGACACGTGGGCAGCATTAAGCTTGGTGCGCATGGGTATTCCTAGTATCATTACGGCAGGTGTTTTCTCTGTAGCTCTGTGTTCACGGGTTCTGTATGATAGCAACGCCGTTAAGACAGCTTCTCCCCACACTATCCCTCCTAGTTGAATGGTCTGTGTTGCCTCCTTGAGAGACCGGTTAAGGCGCTCCACCAGGGCATTAGATAGTAAATGTATATTCGTGATCGCACGCTAACTACGATGTTTATAGAAAGACTTGTTTATAGATGGTCCAGTAGTGGTCTAGTAGCACCGCAGGGTTGGTAAGCCGACGATTTTAGAGTTGGGAGAATGGTGCACAAGCCATTGCGTAATAAGCGCTCGTTGTTCGCTAACACGCCGCTTTAAAGAAATCGCGCTAGAAAAAAGGCCAACTTCGTAGCTGGTGATCGGAATTGATACTTCGTTTTTAAACCGTTTCGCCAACAGTGGAAATGACATCATCATCAGCGCTTTGTTTTGTCGCGGTCCGAAACTTTGCATTAGTGAGTGTGCGTTGAGTAAACCGTGAGCTTGAGTTTTTATGTTATCTTGATTGGTCGTTCCAATAAGCAAATTCACCGGTTCGGCCTTCGGTCCATGTTCCAGTTCATCGACGAGTTGGTGGACTTTGGACTTAATCCTTGCGATTCACACCCCCTGCTATTAATGTCTGCGGTTTAATGACATTGAGAAAACGCCGGAAATTCATGTTGGAGGGATGGTGCCACGCGGCTATTCATAATCGCGTGTGGGCAGTGGATTCTGCGAAGTCGTCGACATCTAGTCGGGCTCGGAATCGGCGACCTTTGGATTAATTTCCAGACGCTCGAAACACGGCCACTATCCGACGCTCTGTTTGGTATTCCTTCCTTTACGGTTACTTGACTGATCTGTAGAACACCTACCGTTAGTGTTGCGTATGTGACATCCCAGTAATCGGATATGGTGTTAAATGCCATACTTCAAAGCATCACAATGCTTGCTTTTCCCCGCACGAACCCGAACTAAGTGATATGAATTTTGCTTCCTTATGACCAGCCCGTATTCGGCGATCTATGCAGAAAACATGTCTCCAATTTTGTCCGATGCACTGATGGTCACAGTCATTGCAGTCTACCTATATGAAGGTACCATTTTGATTGTCTTTGTCCTTCCATTTTGAAGTAAATACTTATGAAGTGACCTTTGGTTTATGTGCTTTCGTAGCATATGGAAGTGCTACATGTTTATCCGCCTATTCTCGCTTATGTTGGGATGTTCTTTATCGGGCTACATCTGATGAAGTGTTTTAAGCCTTCATTGTCATTCAATATGCAGTATAGGCGATTTCTTCCTTCTAAATTCCCGTGCTGCAGTATTTCCACTCTTTTAACTATCCTTTGTATATAGTTCTTTTTTGTCTTTCATTGGATGGTTGTTTTGACGGCGTACGTCTTTTCCCAACATGCATACATTTGACACGCTTTGTTTATATTTCTGAATTAGTTCATCCAAGTACTTTGGCTATGTTTTCACACTTCATTGTGGAACTTGATCTAGAATTAATTATTGACCAGTTCGTGTCATTTTGCACTTAATTTCATTTTATGGCGATGAACGCGTCACATCAGGCCTGTCGAACTGTTCTAAATCCTTCGCCCAGCGGACTAGCTGATGTGGCTAAGAGTGGATCAACTGCTCATCCTTCTCAGCTATTGTTTTCTTAGCCCATATTCCCCTATATGAGTTGCTACAGTACTCATCCGTTGTTCTCAAATGCACTGGCTTACCTCTCAACACTCACCAAGGCTCCCGTCCGATTCTAGGACTCCTGATTAAACGTCGTTCTAGAATGTTACAGACGCGCTGAAATTGAGCAACCAACGAAATCAGTTAATTGCTTCGACGACATGATCGATGCTTAACAGATCTAATCACCGTAAGAGGGTCTCGAGTGGAGTGTACAACGGGTTTCGAAAACATTTTTCATGGCACTTTTGCCACAATTCCAGTAGGCACTCGGCTCACTCGCGTTCATCATCGACAATTTGTGGACTGATTCCTCGTGATATTACCGAATTGAGGACTCTAAGTCTAGAGTGCAACCGAGAGGCCTAGATGTCAGGTGCGTAGCTGAATCCAGAAGATTGAATACTGGGAATTCAATCAGATACTCCAGCTTGACCGACAGTCCGATGTGTACTACTCGTAACTGATGGTAATATGACACATTTAAATCCAGACCATCGTGAAATTTGACGGGCGCCAGGTGACACGATGCGAGCATTTGTCCTGGAAAGCAGTACTGCAATTATGACGGCTGTAATCAAGATGTCCTTACGGTAATCTGTCACAATTACCTGTTCGGTATGCATACATTCCTAAAGGGTCTCTAGACGGTCGTCCGGTATCTGGTAGGCGACCTATTTGAACATTCATTTCACCAGCAACTATCAGAACTTCCGTATTCCTCATCATACGCATAAGAGATGGAAGTTGCCTATTGAATTCCTTTTTTGATATCCTCTAAGCGGCAGTCGGTTGGAGCATGTAACGAAAGGATAAAAAATCACCTTATCTACTAACTCTAATGGACATCCGAAGTCAAGATGCACACGGGTGGCAGTTCAATTGGTCTAGTCGAGTGTATTCCTTCGACATGTTTGATAAGGATGATATCGGCGCCATCAACTCAGTATCGCTAGGTACCCGAATAGTTTAATCATTGTCGACAAATCCAAATAGTGAGCCGAAGATTCATTTCGACACCGCACTCATCAATTCCAATCGCTGTTAACCTATCTAATCCCAAGTGCGAATGGTGAGGGAACAAATTTGGAAGGACACGTTAGATGCATCGCCCAGATACATGCTGTGTCCAGTGCAGTCGCCGTTCAGAAAGGGGGCAACAATCTAGGCACGCACGCCATACCGTCTGCTGGCATCGAATTTGTATCGTGTTATCCCATCTCATGTTATCTCTTCAAATTCATTTTATCATTCATGTACAACCTCCAACTTCCCGTAAACTTCACTTCCAAATTTAGATTCGTGTTCCTGTTTACCCTTCGGGTACCAGTATCGTGTGGGAGTTTGCCACCGATGATTACGCTATTGGATTTGGATTGTTTTTCGAGTGGTCTTGTGAGGACTCGGATGAATCAACGCATTTGCTTCGAATGAAAGGCGAGCATGGTGAATTCACATTCACTTTGCTTTTGTTTTCGTTAGAAAACGGTTGTCACCTGATCGGATCAGAAGCGAAGTTGTAACTGTTTATGTGAGGTTGGTTCTGCAAACTGTGACGTCAACTCACATGTCCTGCACATTGCGATTCAGTTCTGCTAGTCATTGCGCTGTCAAAGCTGCGTCTATCTTCCGCGACAAGTGATTACGTAGAGTCGTCCCCGGCTCACCAATTTAGATTCCTAGCGCAGCTAATCGTTTGATATGTGGATTTTTAGTACTACATCTCACAGTCATTACAAAAATGTTGTACAGCTTTACGGACACAGTACTTTCATCGTGAAACCTTTGAATGTGGAAACTTCATGCAAGCAAGTATAGACAGCCTATATCGGACAGTCCAAACGTATGTGCTACCAGGTCGCAGCAACCTTTCTGAGACAACAAATCTCTCAGTGAAAGTGAGTACTTGGCTACATCATCAACTGGTGACTCTGTATCTCGGTTTTGATTGAGCTTCGAAAACTGGTGATAGTTGCAGCTTGAGTTCCTAAACATCTGGTGGGCGCTGCTGAACCCACCTCGTGGACGTTGCCATCGTCCAATATACAGTCTCCGGAGGTGGAACAGCAAGAGTACATTCTACAAAGCAGCGCCCTGACGATGAAAGCTCGCATGGCAGTGAAATGATGGCAAACGAATTTCCAAACTCGGCGAACAAATGAGCAACTAAGTCTTCTTCATTTCATAGATAGGGCGAATGAAGAACTTCCGCCGGGCGTCCACTGGCTCGATACGTAGATGATGGTATTTATTAGGAAAATTCCACCTCTTTGTGCACTGGACCTTGACTGGTGACTACATCTTCGGACACGCGGAACCAATTTGACACATGGGTTACTCATTGGTGAAAATAACATGTTCCTGTCTGTGTTTCCACACTGGGGTAGCAAAATGCTCACGATCTCTTTCGTAGCATCTGTGGTTTTCATCATTTTAAATTTCTGGGTAGCCGTCATCCTTATAAATTAGGTACCAATCGTTTGCGATATCTAATGAATTTGCCGCCTGACTGCTGCTCGTATCCATAGCGTACTGTACCTTTCCACAGCCTACTGAATCCATAACGCTTTCAAATTCCTCCTTCAAGAAATCCTCTCAAGATAGTTGCATCAAACGGGTGCAAACAATCCTAAAATCACTGAGTGATCAATCCCGAATGATATGCCACTCTGTGTACTCGTCTGTTATACTACCGGTTGATTTGGAATTGGTTAATCAACGAACAGTACACTTTTTTGAAATTGTCTGCACCCGTTGGATGCAACTTAATAGCGTTAAGGACCACCTTGAGACATCTATGGAGAGGAAATTTGAAACGGCTATAAATTCAATCGATTGGGAAAATGTATAGACACCTGCGACATGCACTAGCATAGGACAGAACCCGACGCGGAACCTTTTGAAGGCCTGTTGCGCCACATCCGATAATCAACTTGTCCTGTTTACACTATACTTTTTTGCAGATACCTCCAATCGGACGGATGATTTGTCCACCGTAACGTCATCACCACAGATAGAAGAAATCATCCCTATATACCGGCGCAATTGCCACAAGGAAATCTACTGCGGATCGCATGTATATCCAGCATTGGGCACTTATTTGCTCAAATTTGATAACTCATACTCATTGTGGCGCCAGAAGACTTTGTACTGTCGCGTTTTCTATACCTGTTCATAACCTGATCTACAAATGACCTTCATCTCGGTTTCTCTATGCAGTGTGGCGTCGTTTCTAGAAATTAATGGTTCCACCAACTGCAACTTGTGTCATTGTTTCGCAGTCCATTGAACTCGACACGCGTTCCCTATGAGTATGGGGCGCGATAAACTTTTTACTTTTATGCGAACATTGGTCCTTCTCCGTTTCTCTCGTTTTTTCCACTGGGGTTGTCTTTCATCGGACTCTTCCCGATCACTTGTGATACGTGTGTAATGTTCTCTGTGAACAGGAAATACATCTGATCTGCATATCAACACACTTTTACTTGTTGGATGGCGACTGAAAACCCATTTCTGCACCTTGGTTGACGAACCTCCCTAGTGTCTCGCACACCGTCAAATGTCCGGCTGGTATAGCTGTTTCTTTCAGTGCATTTCACGTGTGAACACCCCACCTAATCTATTGCGCACTGAACGAGCCCATTGTAAACGCAACATACATGGTTCACGGCATCCGATTTCAGATTTACCTGTCACTGCGACCTCCATAGAAAAAAGACAGGACGTCTGCTCCTACCCGAGGACCATGGGTGGCTTACGCTGCGCCACCCATATCCAGTGTAATCCCTAAGGAATAAGACCGGGACGCACCTGGATGGGGGGCCAAGTGTCACCAACGGAGCCGGCCCACACCCCTACAATATGCACAACAGCAGCATTCCTGACTGTCCAATTGGGGAATCATCATCATCATACACGTTAGCTAGAGATGGGAAACACCTCAGCTACTGTGCCGCAGTATTTGGGGAATTGTGCGTACCAGACGTCCGCAGGGCGGTGGCTGAGCCTTAGACCGCTCTACAGTAGATGGAAGCCCTCTGAGTCTAGAGCCGTCCCGATGACCGTGCACCCGGTCTCCTCCAGCAACCATTCACAGTTCCTGGAGCCAGTAATCGAGGTGGATGGTGCTGGACAGGTAGGCGCCTTGTCAACACACATCGAGTGCGGCCACACCGGCTATGTTAAACAACCAACATAGAATTTGAAACAAAATAAACATGTCAAATTATCAAGGAATATGCATCAGAATAATAAAACTGAACAAAACAAGTGTGATGGAATACTTTTTTCATCCATTAAGAATGATCGCTCCCACTTTTGGGGCCGTGTACCGTCCGTCGGTAAATATACAAATTTATTTATTTATTTATTTAAGATCTAGTTCGAGTGTAGGTCGGTGTCCCTCGATGGCTTGGCCATGTTATTGCGCATGCCAGTACACGGTCTGCCGCGAAGTGCGTTGTTTGTGCGCCGGGAGTGTGGTTGAAAGAGGAGACGGAGCGATGAGTCAGTCGAGAGGAATGAAGGCCTTCACTTCAAACGTGGCGTCGGTTGGCATCTCCCGAATGCCGGGCTTGGGACCGAAAGACGATGAACGCGTTTGGTTTGATACACTTGTTGGCATGGCAAGGAACCTATCTCAATGGCGTTTGTGTGGTGAGTTTCTTCGTACCTCCCATCCACTCATCTTCCGCCTACAACCACGATCTCAATGTTGAAGCATTATATGTCACTAAGCAGTTTGATACCTGTTTACAATCTATCACGTTTATTATCTCGCTTTTTCGTAAATCTTATCTTTTTGTATTGCGGCCCAATAGTTTAAGCTTGTTTCTCGCCTTCGGCTAATATGTGTTGATGCTGGTGATCAATCTAAAGCTCAGGGGTTAGATACACCCACCACCAGACACCCACCGGACATGAGCGAAGGTTCGAAGGCGGCGATGTTCGAACCTCACCAGTCTCTCGATATCGGCTGATCTAATGGGTCAGGTTTCACAACCGTACAGAAGGGTTGAACGGACGGCTACATGATAAATTTACGCTTCAGAGCGAGTCATGTCACGCTGGCGCACAGGTGGCGGCGATTGACAAAAACGCCTCGATCTTTTGTTGTACGGTCCGTGACACGTTTCACAGGCTTTGATGCAGCTGCCCAAGTAGTTGAAATTCGGAGCTTTTGGCTGATATCCACCAGAGGCAAGTGCAGGTGGTACTTGGCAATCTCAGAGAAAAGCTTGCTATTTGAAGGGTGCAAAGCATAGCCCGAAAGGTTTGACAGCCAGTGCTAATCTGTCTATTGCTGCTTTGCACGTTTGAGAATAGCCAGAGATCGTCGGCATACTCCAAGTCCAGAATTTGATCATCTGGATACCAAACCACACCTGAGTAGTGTTCGGTGGACGCGTTTTCCGTAACTTCGTCAATAGTAAAGTTAAAGAGGAAAGGCGACAACGGACAACCCTGCCTCACACCGCCGAAGATACTGAAGTGCTGCGACAGTTTACTATAAGCTATCCATCTACCCCAACTAAGCGCATAACGCGTTTTGATAATGCTTACGTGTTCCTCGGCTACAACCTCAATCTCAGTCCTAAAGAGCGCATCGAGCCGCCGAGTCACAGGCACTTTTGTTGTAGATGAACACGACTGCGGTGAGTCGTCAGTATAAGTGATGATGCTACAAAATATCCGGAGTAAAAGGAAGTTGTGGTTAATGCGGTCTCGATGTCGACAAAATCCACCGCTATTTCATGGGTGCCGGTCAGTCTACGGAGAAGGACAGGTAAGTAACTTGGATGCACATTAGATTAAGTTCATTCTGCTATGATTGCCGCATACAGAGTATGAGGCAACTTGAAAACTGGCACAATAACGGAGCAGCTCCTGCTACTTCACAAATAAATCTCATTTTCCGCTGAATTCAAGGAAGAATAGAAGTCTTTACTTCTGCGGTCGATCTCACGTTCAACTTTTGTGTGAGAGGGCAGATCCAAGGTAACGGCCCAGGGAGCGCGGCAAATATTTACCAGCGAGGAAACTTATAAACCTGACCGATTTAATTGCTTTTCGATATCCTCAGCCCAACGCTCTAAGCGTTTTGACAAGTTGTGTACAGGCTGTCCTTGTCAGACAGAGTTCTGCTTCTCGTTGGGGACGGAATTACTTCCTATAGTTACTGTTACGACAATAGAGTCAAATAGCAAGATAATTCACTAAACAAACGCAATGTATTGGCAGTAAAATATAGAGTGATTTGTATTAAGTAGAGTTGCTTGTTCTCGTGAATTTAGAATTCACGGATACCTAGAGCAGCATGTCAAACTGGTATCTCTGAACGTGTCCCATGCACGCACTATTACAACACCCAATGAGATATCGACGAACGGACAATGTGAGTTGAACTGACGCTTAACAGGCAGAACACTGCGTTAGATGACGACACAGTTTGCTCATTTAAGAAAACTTGTCTATGCCAATGGGTAGATCAGCGTAATTGGATCATGCCGCCTCTGAACAGCGTTTTCGTTCCTAGAACGTTGTCTGCAGCCAGACACAGTTAGAACAACTGACCAAACCAGAAGGTCGGGTGTAGCAGCTGCCTATGGTGACTTACGACGGCTGCTGTCGCGCAGTCTGGCTTAATTTAATTTAAAGTGGGGCGACTACGCTCCGTACAGTTTGCCAGATGAATAGCGCTATTCGAAAACGATATGGTCTTTAAACAACATATTTGTGTGAAAATTTTCCGAAATTATGAATTCTCAATCGGTTCCAAATTTATTTTTATCGAGTTGCTTTACGGACCCTGCGCTCGAAAGGTAGCGAGTGAATTCGTCCGATTGACTAGCGTTGAAACGAAATGGGGAAAGCCGTAATACAAGTCTTTAGACAACCGATCTATATTTTAAAACCTTCGAAATTACGATGTGACTGGTTTTTACTTGCTAACATCCACCACCTTGTTGTCGTTAAAATCAGCTGAGCTCTGTCTGCAGGAATCTGGCTGGGCAATTGGATTGCGCACTTTGAACCAGCAAAGCTTCAATAGAGTAATAACTACTTGTGAATTGTCAGTAGTTTATGGGAAATTTTCGGTAGACGACACTTCGCAATGGAAGACAAACTGTCTTATCCCAACAATGAGAAGCAGTCCGGTAGCTTTAGCCGAAACTGAGGTGTGAGGTCAACAGACCTAAAGTGCCGTTAGAAGTTGCACTGGACCACAAATAAAGGATAACCACGCAAATAATTGTCAGACATGGAGTACTCTTTGTGAGCTTAGACTGTCATTGGCGGGTAGCATCGAGGCATGGCGCCCAGATGAGTCCGACAGCGTGAGCACCATGAGGATACGAATTGTCCTTATCCTTCCTTGCAAATAACAGTGATCAGAGTTTGTACCCTACTGAGACTCGTGAGTTTTACATACCGTTCCCGAATGTTCGATTTGACCTTCATAACGGACAATGTGACAGCCAATACAACCCCTTTTCCCCTCAGCTCATTCTAAACCGATCTTTTCTTTTTCTTGTGGGGAGCCAGTGATCTCGATTTTCCGATCGATAGCCGGCCGTGCAATCATTCGAAGGAACACCAACTCTGTTAAGCTGTTACGGTCGTCCTAATGCTCGTGAGGCCGATATATACTACCTTATGCGAAACATATGATACAACATGCGAACTGTGCGTCCCTTCCACCTTCACACTGCATCGTCGGGCTCTTGTATTGTAGCTTATCCCACCTGCATTTGTGTGACAAGTATGCCCCGCATAATTTTAAGTCGGTTTCCGACGTCGAACATAGCCCAGCGAAACCCTGAGATGATTGTTGTATCAGAAGAACGTAGATGTAACAGAAGTATATTGTAGGGGGCACGTAGAACGTACGATTGCCAAAAACGAAAAAGGGCACTTACTAAGAATTCTGCTAATCGATCAATCAGCGTTGAGCGAAGTTCATCCAATCAGGATAAGCTTATGGCAGCGAAAAACACCACTTCCCGTCGGAAATCTTGCTTCATGCGGGTTGGTAGCGACCAACTGGCTTTGGTCTACGGCTGAACCTTCTTCGTTCACGGGACGGTGGAACCGGCCGTGGCTGAGTTTCACACGTGGCTTGGCTAGACTGCGAGGACGGTCCAGTTGCTCTGTAAAGCCGACGGGCGTTGACTATCAAGCCATTTTCCAATCGATATGTGCCAGGGCCGCACGCATGCATGATTCTCAGCGGTACAGACAGAGTTGGGTGACCCTTTAATGATCCCGGCTGCAGTGGAATTGAGGTTTTAACGTACGATTGTTGGTATATTTATATGCGGTTTAGCACTTCGGTATTTACAGAAAAGCACACGGGTGCAGCACTAAGTATGGTGCGCATGGGTAATCCTAGTATCATTACGGCAGGTGTTTTCTCTGTAGCTCTGTGTTCACGGGTTCTGTATGATAGCAACGCCGTTAAGACAGCTTCTCCCCACACTATCCCTCCTAGTTGAATGGTCTGTGTTGCCTCCTTGAGAGACCGGTTAAGGCGCTCCACCAGGGCATTAGCTGCAGTATTGTAGGGGGCAGTCCGGGAATGTCGTTGGAGGGAATTTTCAAATTTGCAACTACAGAATTGGGGAGCATTATTTGTAACCACTTCCTCTGGTAATCCGAAGCGACTGAACAGATGTCTGAGCCATTGCAGCACTACGGAAGAAGTCACTTGGTCACATACATCAACATAAACAACAGCAGTACATCAGCCATTTGATCTGATGCTTCGCTGCCATACAACCATGATGACCTATGAAATAAAGAATAACAAAAGGGAGAGAAGGGGGACTTACCTGAAACTCTTAATGCCCTAAGCAAACATTCAGGATCAGGGCGCCTACACCTTGTGTAGCCAACATACCGTTGCAAACAGCTGGCTATCGTGCAATGATAAGGCGGCATCGGCGAGACAGTTTCCGTGTGGCTTTCACTGTCCCGTAGCATAATCAGCCATTACTCCGCAGATAACTTAGCGCCAAACACACTTTAAACAGACAATCCGATTAGGAGACAGCAGCAGACGCGCCACTGGTGTCAGTTGTGCGCGATGTCCTGTAAAGTTCCTCCCGAATTGCATAGTACGGAACGAAATCACAGGAAATTTTGTTGTTCTCCGGCCATCCTTGCTGAACGTAAGCCACGAGTTGCTGCAGCGTCCCATCTCTCGTATTCTCGGTTTATAGTTCATTAATTGTCAGGGACAGGCAAATCGCCTCTCTGAGTGCTTCTCTTCCATCCTCTAGTTCCAAAGGTAAGCGGGATAATTCATCCGCGATCTGATTCTGCCATCCTGGCCGGTAAACGAGTTGGAAATCGTAACTGAGAAGTCTGGCGTACGATCGATTGATTCGCATCGGGCGGAACCGTTTAGATCCATTCTTGCGGAGGGTGGTGAGAGCGGAGTTGTCTGTTCGTAAAATTAAACAGCGGCCAAAGTGTTAAAGACGCCACTTCTCGCAAGCCCACACACAAGCGAGAGCTTCCTTGTCGCCGGCGGGGTAGCGACATTCAGAGTCTGGTAATTTTCGTGAAGCATAGGCAATAACTTTCTCTTCACCGTTTTGTCGTTGTGAAAGCACAACACCGAGGCCGACATCGGAGGCATCAGTTGACACAAAAGTACGGCATGATTCGTCAAAGATGGCAACCAATGGGGCGGAGGAAATCCGTCATTTAAGTTCGTCAAAGGCATTTTTTGTTCACTTCATCAAACGAACGGTGGTCCCTTTTTTGTCAGTTTCCGTAATGGGTCTGCCACGGTTGCAAAATCATGAACATATCGCAAGTTGTAAGAGCACATACTCAGAAAAGACTAGTTCCGTTAAGTTACTAGGTATCTGCAAGTCAGCTGTGGCACGGATATTTTCGTTACTGGGGCGAGTGCCGCTGCAGAAAATGGTGCCCTAGAAATTGAAACTCGGGAGAGTCAAATATGCACTTTTTCGTGTTCAAGCGGAGACCGGGTTCACTGTCGATGCAGGATTTTATATAAGCACTCGTCATGCTCTTCCGGTGAGCGACCGAAGTTCAAGTAGGCAATCTGTCCATCAATACCTGCCAGAACTTAAGTCATGAACTTTTGCCAGGCAGCAGGTGTTGAGCTCAGACCCATGGGAAAACTTTGCACTGAAACAATCCATCAGTGACTAGGAAGGTGGAAAGAGGTTTGGAGTCATTAGATGAAAGAATGTGGAAAATGCACTTAAATCCAATTTTGAGAAAACTGTTACACCGGAAAGGCGAACTGTTGCTCATCACAGGACGGTAGCACAAAACTATACACTATCTACTTATACCTTGTAGATCATTACATAACCTGACAGTGCCGCCTTTATTCAAAACAACCATTGGATGTACCAACTCAGAGCAATCGATTTCTTTTTCGGGCATTGAGCCCCCTTCTCCCCGGGCCGTCTCCTTGGATCCGCCAATACGCGCTGAACTCGAACGTGAGAGCAGACTGTTGAAATTGCATAAGGCCGCAAGGGAAGATAGAATTCCCCCATCCTTCTTCAAATTCGGCCGACCTGCTCTAGTAGATGATTTACACGAGTTGCTAGTGAAACATTAGGAACAGGAGACTGTCCCGACAGACTGGAGCCACTTCGTCATTGTCCTAAATTTCAAAGGAGGTTCTCGTTCGGAATGCGGCATTCCTAGAGGGATCAGTCTGATCTCTGGTTGGCACACGGGAAAGCCACATTCGTGAAGAGAAAGCCGGGTTTCGTCGAGGTCGGGGCTGCATCGACCACGTCTTCACATTGTGTCAATTGTTGGAGCACCACCATGTTTACTGGCGACCTACCGTTGTCGTGTTTCTCGACTTCGACTCGGTCGATCAATGTGCGCTTTAGGACTGTCTGCTGAGGAAAAGTGTGCCTGATAAATACGTAAACATTATCAAGGCGCTGTTCACGCATAGTTCCGGCAGGGTGAGGGTTTATGGCAAACTGTCGCCATCCTTCAGTATCAATAGGCGATGTAAGACAAGGTTGCCCGCTGTCACCTTTCCTGTTTCAATTCGCAGTTGACGAAGTTATGGAAACAGCGTTCGCTGGACAAGACCTAGAAGATGTGGAGCTACTTCCTGGTGAGCGACTTCTTGACTTAGAGTATGCGAACGATATTGCCCTAATCTATGACAGCTCCCAAACATGCCAAGCAGCACTGGACCGATTAGCACTGGCTGTCTATCGTTTTGGGCTATGCTTTGCTCCATCGAAATGCAAAGTACCTATCCAAGATTGCCAGGGACCCAACCCTGCGCTAACACTTGGTGGTGATCTGCTAGAAGTCGTTCAGGAATTCAAGTACCTGAGCAGCTATATTAGCACCCGTGGGATTGAAGATGAAGTTACGAACCGTATAGCAAAAGTCCGAGGTGCTTTTGCTAATCACCGCCACCTGTGGCGCAGACGCGACATTACTATCGCCCGGAAGGGCAGAGTTTATAACACAGCTGTCCGTTCAACTCTCCTATATGGTTGTGAAACCTGGACCATTAGGTCGACAGACATAAAGAGGCTCGTCAGATTCGATCATCACTGTCTTCGCAGCTTAAATTACGTTTGGTGATAGCACCGCGTGAGCAATATGCGTGTTCGGCGTCGCATATTTGGTGCAGGAAGAGCGGGTGAACCACTCAGTACCATTATATCACGTACCAGGCTCCGACGGCTGGGCCACGTGTTGCGCAATCCAGTCCACAGGCAATCACTGCGTTCCTCCCAAGCAGAGGCCGCTTGTTATCTGACGAAACGTATACCGCGACATCCGCAGATACCAGGACAATCCATGGAGGTACGATGAGAAAACCAAGAACGGTTAAATTATTGCCACTGTAATTCCAGAACGAGTGAGCATTTGGCTGTAAAAGGTATTCGAATAATTAACGTTTATAGAAACGGGAGGGCACAATAGTAACAGGAGAATCCAATCCGACTTTTAAAGGAATAACACCTTTGATCGTAGGGAATAAGACAGTTCAAATATCTGCAGAGGGAAGTTTCAGTTCAACAACAGATATCATCACATTTTCCAAGTTGCTGACATCAGCAATCACTGACTAAACATGTTACTCGGTTGAACCGGCTACGTCGTGCTCGGTTAGGAGGTCCTGTTCAACGAGTGTGATGCGTTGTGATGGGCAACAACGAGTAGTGTCCAATTGTTCCACAGTTTTTACATGTTAAACTACGGGTTGGACAAGAAGAGAAGTTAGCTTTATGGGAGGTACTACCACAGCGGTAGCAGGACGGCTTACTTCCTGGTAGGAGATGGGTAAACTGTATCTTTGCCACATCGGTCAGTTTAGTTACAACAAACGTTTTCGCCTGCAGAGCAACCTCCATCTTCATTTTGGCTAAATCGCAGGCTCCACCCAAGATCGGAGTTTGGGCGTCTTCCTGTAGCAGCATTTCACGTATATGGTTATCAGCAACTCCAGAGATCAACCATTGCGTCATCATGCATCTGTGGAATAGATGAGTTCTCGCACGGCCGCATTGCAGGATTCAGAGATTCACCTGGCTCCTGTTCCATTCGGGAGAAGACGTACCTTGCTGTGAACAGGTTCATTTGGAGGCCCCAAATGCGATCGAGAGCTTTGAATGCATCTTCGGCTAATTTGCATCCCTGGAGGTTTAGGTCATCAAACTGCTGTTGCCCCTCATCTCCGAACAAGTGACGAAGCAGCTGTAACTTATTTTCCTGGTTGATTGGAAACTTTTGGTTTGTAATTAAATCCAAATAATTCTGGAAGGAAATTTTTAAGTGACGTAGGTCTGTTTCCACAGTCAGTCCAAAATGTCGATGGAGGTTGAATTGAAAGATCCATGGTTGTAACCGCGACACCAACTGTTGTATCAGAAGAGGGTAGATGTGACAGTAGTAGATGGTAGGGGGCATGTAGAACGTACAAGTGCCCAGAACGAAAAAAGGCACTCACTAAGAATTCCGCTAATCTATCAGTCAGAGTTGAGCGAAGTTCAGCCGATCAGGATAAATGCAAAGTAGCGAATCACAACAACTATCAGTCAGTGATGCCGTAAAAGGATAGGAAGAAACTCGATGGAAAGCTTAGGATAGCTGGTGTCTGTCATCTTCCCAGATGGTGTTATCAGTGGCCAAACACTTGGATATGTCTTAATCAAGCAGTGAGTAGCACTCCCCGATCCATTCATTTCAGACGATCTCAGCTCACGCCAACTGATCATGACATGGTATTATTATTGTTATTGATATGTCACCGTTATTTAAGGCACCTGCGTCCAGGGAACATCAATGCAAGGGTCAGTGTACTACATTAGTGGCTAAGAAACAGAAATGAACACTGCATGCGTAATAGACCGAGGTACATCTTGATTGTACGTAGCTTTTAGCCACGCCTGTCAACGAACAACCAATCACACACGAAGCACATAAGTCGCGCTAAAAACGTATAAAAATGAGTCCAATGGACGGAGATGTGGAACGTGTTGTCACGGGCTCTCTCACAACGCTAGGTGACATTTTTATGGACAATATTTACGACTTCAGTGATTTCCGTTTATTTGTACAGCATGTACCCAGGATGGCAATGGAGTTTGTCAACATTTCGTCTGAAAAACGAAAGACGGGTTGGCCTGTTGCAACAACTTGAGTCTCTTTTCGAAGTTTCTTGTGCGCCGACGTTGGGCGGGATTTTTCGTGGTTGCTGAATCACTGGGTGATTTGTCGCTCTTATGAGTTGTTCGAGCAAGCGCGGCTGCTGTTTGACGCTTAATCTCCTTTGTACGTGACGACTTCATCAGAGGCTTTCGACGAAATGCGCTCCAGTTCGGATCAGGGACAATTTCGCCTGTTGAGAATAAAAAAGATGTGGTGAACCTAGCGTTGCGCAAACACCACGTTTTCACATAAAAGTCACACAATCCTGAATGGAAATACAAGCGTATATAATTGGCTGCATCCGGTTTCGGAATTGACTCTCACTGTGGCCAGATACAGGACGCCTGCACCTACAGAGGGACCATGGATGGCTTGCGTTGCACCACCTACAGTTCCATCCACACACCCCATATCCAGTGTAAACCCGAAGGAATAAGACCGGGAGGCATGTGGATGGGAACCACATTTCATCAACGGAGCCGGCCGACACTCCTTCACAGCCAAACATAAGCATACTGTATTTGGGGAATCAAGCGCACATAAGACGGTGGCTGGACCGTAGTCCGCTCCACACTGAGTGCATGGAACCGCTCTTTGAGCCTAGCACGGCCACAAGCACCGTGCACCCAGTCCCCTCCAGCAACAACCAACTGTCTCCTGGAGCCAGTATGGATGAGGTAGTGGGTAATAGACAGGTAGGCACCTTGTCAACATGCACATCAAGCGTAGCCAAACCGGGGATATCAAGCAACAGTCCATCACTTGAAACGACAAAATGAAATAAAACAAATCCAACAATGTATACAGATCCGGTGGCATAACTTCGCTAAACTAGCATATGAAGTAAGTTGGTTAGCAACAAATCTGCGATAAGTAAAAAAGGTCCACAACTTATTCAATAACTGTTATAAATGTGATAAAGTTATTGAAAATAAGCGCAATTAGCGTATTCAACGCGGCCAGTTAATAGATTATTCAGGTAAGCGGAACAAACCAAATAAAGTGGAATGAAATTTATCCAGCTTAAAATGACCTAGTTTAAGTGTAAGTTGGTTTAGCCCGACTGCGGTGAAGAAGCATCAAGAATGCAACATCAGCCTCAGCATGGGGCACATAACTATATATAAGCACACAATGATAACCATGTACATACGTACTCCCTCGAGTTGTACTAAGTGCGCGACCTACCGTGTGCTACAAAGCTGCTCACCACGTCGAGATGATCATCCCACTTATCACCTCAAGATCAAAAAACGAATCATTATCAACAGCAGTACACTAGCCATTTGATCTGATGTTTCGATGTTGTACAACCGCCATGACCTACGGAAGAATAATAAAAGGGAGAAAAGGCGGAATTAGCGTAAAATCTTAATGCCCCAAGCAGAAACACAAGGGTAAGGCGCCTACATCTTGTGCCAACAACAGAACATCACAAACTGCTGATTATCGTGCAAAGATACGGCGCACTCGGTGAGAGGGCTTTCTTGAAGCTATCACTGCCCCGCATCATGATTAACTATCAACCCACAGGTAACAGTCCCAAACAGCTTTAAACAGGTAGTTCGACTACCAGATGACAGCAGCAGCGCCACTGGTGCTGCTGCGAGCCATGTACTATGACGTTTTCAGCCAAGCACAAGGCGGGTCAGGGTGACCCCAACCTGGAAGGCGAGACGGACTAACGGCACCGAGTTATGCCGTCCGTGATTTACTTCACTTACCGCTATCAAGTTAACTTTTGCTCACCTCGGGTCTTGCGCCACCCTACATCCGGAAAACAAAACAACGCCCTCCTAAGTAAGCGGTGACCGGGAATATGTAGTAGTGCCCTATCCGACGCAACTTATTCAGTGCTATATGTTTCTCTAAGGAACTAATATGATTATCACTGCCTAGCACTCGCCTACGCACATCATTATTGCAGACACGCTGCAGCAATGCTTTGCAGACAACGATGATCAAAAACTTGAAGACGTCTCAGATCTTCAGACCGAAGAGGCCAAGTCTCACTACCGGACGGTCCTCACCGTGGCCTTAACAACACGGGCTCCTTTCTGACGACACTGTTGTCGCAGATTCAAGAAAGCAGTTCTGGCTTTGCAATACGTGAACTGACCAGTTTCTATGCGCCCAATCGTTGCTGATGCAGATAAGTGAATTGATCAACTACCTCGATTTTCTCGCCATCAAGGGTCAAGGGGTCATAAAATGGTAGGTGGTTCTGCAACAATACTTTGCTTTTGAAAGTGCGAAGTGCATACCAAATAATGGGACCACTCTAGTCAGGCTATTCAGGGTTGATTGTGCCGCGGTAACATTGTCAAAAAGCAAGATGATATCGTCCGCATAATCAAGGTCAACTAACTTTTCACCAGGCAGGACCTCAACGCCCACATCGTGGATTCGGCAAGAGAACACTCCATGAGTTCCCAAAGAAACTGAACAAAAACGGGGAAATAAGAAAAAAACCCTGAGGAACGCCACTTGTTGTCGTGAAGATACCTGATACGTCACCGTAGACCCCGAGGCGGTCTGTGGTGTAGGAGTACAGGGCACGTAAAATGTTTACATATTCCTTGGTAACACCTTTCTGCACAAATATCTTGCACAGAAGGCTTCGATCGACTGAATCGAACGCACACGGAGTCCAAAAACACCACTATTGTCGGCCTGCGATACGTGTGGCGCTGCTCTAGCACCTGCCACAGAGTGAACATATGGTGTATACAGCCCCATCCTGGACGGAAACCTGCCTGGGATTCCCATTCCGCAGTGAGGCGACGAACGACAGAGAATTGAGGCCATTAATTTTGTCACAACTGGCGTTAGGCTAATACCCGTGTGGTTTGCATGGTCGGTGCGACCGCACTTCTTATATTTCAGCACTTTAATTGATTCACTCTAGTCAGCCGAAACGGTCTCTCCCTTCCAAACTAGTTCGAACAGAGAGGTCAGTACTCTGCAGAGGATCACACCATTAACCTTATATGGTGCAGGTGCAAAGGAATCTGGACAAGCAGCACGATAACGACTGAGGGTTGAGATCACGTTTCGGTCATCAGCTTCTGGTGAAACCTCTAAACTAACCGTCTATGGCTAATCCTGCATCACCTGAGTAGGAAGGGGGTCCAAGAGCATGGGGCTAACTAAACTGATCTCGGAAGTGCCCCGCCCAACGAGCCATACGGCGCTCCTTATTGTGAATAATGGCACTCAAGCTGTTTCTGGCTGTTTCACTGACGCGTAGTTTCCTGGGAACAGTGGTGCGGATCAGTTGGAGGAGCTTACGATAATTGCCGATTGCTCCCACTACCTCTATTCCTGTGCCTTACTAGTCCATCAGGCTTCCCTGTCAGTACGCAGACTCCACTTTAGTTCATGTATAATAGTCCGCCTGGTCACATTGTGCTCAGATTCAGCCGGGAGTTTTCTTCTGGGTTCCAACAAGTTCCCCGACTTCTCGGATATCCAGTGACAGATGCAGAGCTGACTGATAGTGCCGCAAGCGAAAGCTCCTGCACGTTGCATGGAGATGGAGATCCTATTCCATTAAAGCTCACTGTCATTAGGACGAGAATGCAAAAGTTCGATACGCAGGGCATACTGGTAGGTTTGCATGACCGGGAACTGAGATAGATCTTCAGTTGCCAATCGATACGCCTCCTGGCAAAGTTCATGAAAAAACGACATAGTATCTGAGTATGGTAAAAGTAGATGTAGGTACTCCAGAACGAGCGAGGCCATTATGGAACTACGCCACCTGCAAGTTATGGCAACATGATCAATTTGGGTCCATCGCTGACCAACTACAGGACGCCGTGGCACTTTGGTGCTTACTATGTCTAAAAGCGGTGCTACTAAGAAACAGCTGGTACTCTGCACACAGTTGCAACAGACACTCGCCGTTGTCCGTCCGGTCACGGTTAAATCCATACTTACCACGCAGCTGAGCTTCTGACGAGCTCGTACGACTTAGCTGCACATTCACATCCGCTGCAAGAACCATGATCTCTGAACTGGTAGTACTGCGAAGCGGCGTGTTCATCTCGTGATAGGTGTCCTTGGCAGCATCAGAACTGCAGTCGGTGAGGGCCATAAGCGGAAACCACAAACAAACAGCGTCTTGTACTACTTCGTGAATCAACTTTAGCTGATGTCGTCAAAGGGGATGTACACAAACGGCTGTTCACAGGAATCCAATCTAACAACGATGACTTAGCCTTGGATCTGAGTAAAAAAAAACGGGATGAACGAGGCGATCAAACCCGAGCCAAGCGCACAGGAAAGGAACTTAACAAAACGAAGAGGCGTGTGCTATCGCCATTTATAATGTATCGTTGTGGTTCGTGGAATGAGGCGCCATGCGTGGAATGACTCTTTGGCAGCGAGCCCAATGACCGGGTTTTGTGTGAACCCCACCGAGTCTGCGTAGGTGCAGGTGTCCTCACCGTATCCATACGGATCCGTTGGCGATTGCGTAACGGGGATGCGTCATTACAGGCCTCAGGACACTACTGATATGTATCATAGTTTTACTGAATGGTGCGCAGCGAATACCACCATCAGGATGAATGAAAGAGATAGTAATTGCCAGGGAGTTCTCAAGTAAGAAAAACGCTCCACGGCGACTCAAAGCGGATTTAGTCCAAGAAATCTGTTTCCCATCAGTTAAGACAATGTTTAAAAAGCAGGGTAATGACAGCCACCAAGAAATACAACAATCATCATCAAATGAGCTGTTCACTCGTATGTTCGAAACGGATACGTTCTCAGTGACCGAAACGACCGAGATTTGTATCAACATTATTCGCGATCCAGAACGATACTACGAATCGCAATCCATTCACACGACTGCTTCCAATGAACCTACAAGGATCCGGTATCCGTTGTGACAAGAACTACCCGCGACTCGGTGGTAAATGCTTCTGGTGGCTTCTGGAAGTTCGAATTGAAATTCTGCTCCCCTCTGTCCAATGAGTGTAATCTAGTACAAAATCGGTGATTGCGTGTAATGTGTGAGATGGCAACACCTTAGCTTGCACAAATATCAATTGGTATTTAAATGGTAGCGGCCAGAATGGGTCGAGTGTGGCACAGTGGAAGCAGATGTTCGGAGGGTAAAAGTAGTATACAGTTGATAAAATGATAGCGCGAATTTTCTAATCCCACCGCATATTGAAACATTAA